TTTAACCGTTACTTTATATCTGTTCAATCTAATAAGAAACTTGGCACTTGTATTTCATATATCTTTTTTACATTTCTTTTTTTTTTTTTTTTGCGGTACGCGGGCCTCTCACTGTTGTGGCCTCTCCCGTTGTGGAGCACAGGCTCCAGACGCACAGGCTCAGCGGCCATGGCACGCGGGCCCAGCCGCTCCGCGGCATGTGGGATCTTCCTGGACCGGGGCACGAACCCGTGTCCCCTGCATCAGCAGGCGGACTCTCAACCACTGCGCCACCAGGGAAGCCCCTACACTTCATTTTTTAAGCAATTTATTATTATATCTTACAAAAGAATCAGTCTGTGAAGTTAAAAAGAAACTGGCTCTTCACTACATATAATTTAAGAGGCACTGTTCTAGACAGTTCCTCCTAAGATTCTGCAGGCCTCTTGGATACATGGCAAAAATAAAAAAAGGAAACAGTGATAAGATTGTGGTAGGTAGTTTATTTAGTACTATTCACATGCCACCAACCACTACAGAGCAGTGTCCTTTTACTTGTCTCTTTCACAGCTACCATTGGAGCCTCTGACCAGGCTACCCTAGGCCAGTGGCTTTTTTACACTGCTCTAGAATCACTCAGAGAGCTTATAAAAAATAGCAGTGTCCAGGCCCAACTCCCGGCCAGTTGAATCAGAATTTCTTGGGAGGGGGCCTGTGTACAGTTTAAAAAGCTGTATATTTTTCCAGTTACATCCAGGTGATTATATTTTACAGCCAGCATTATTATTGTATGGATTCCCTCATCCCAGAAAAATTTGCTCTTTCTCTGTTTGGAAGAAATCATTAATCTGGGTGGGGGATTTTCTGTGCAGGACCATTCACTCTCTTTAACAGCGAAAGGGGGACTTTCCAGTTAAATATGTCAGATTGAACTTTGGCATTTTATCTTTACGCCCTCCTAGAACCCCACTGAAATGAAAGGAATAAAAAAAATAGAAGGCATAAATCACAAGTAGAAAGCAAATGAGAGGAGACAGAAGTAGGCCTGATTGGTCAACAAGTTTTTGATAGAAGCAGGTTTGTAGAAATCAGCAGAACTGAGAAAGCTGATCTAAAAACCTGATGTTAAAAAGAAGCAACCCAGGGCTTCCCTGGTGGCGCAGTGGTTGAGAGTCCGCCTGCCGATGCAGGGGACACGGGTTCGTGTCCCGGTCTGGGAAGATCTACATGCCGCGGAGCGGCTGGGCCCGTGAGCCATGGCCGCTGAGCCTGTGCGTCTGGAGCCTGTGCTCCGCAACGGAGGGGCCACGGCAGTGAGAGGCCCGCGTACCGCAAAAAAAAAAAAAAAAAGAAGCAACCCAGTTTATGCTGCTGGCTCAGAAATTCAAGGAACTAGTTACCTCAGGAGGTAAGGGTGGAGTATGGAGCTGAAAACAGGAACGGTGGGAAGTCTGTGTATCAGTCTCCCATGTGTCCTCCTTCACCCTGAGCAGCCTGGAAACGATTGTTCCTTTACCTTGGATAAAACAAGAGGTTAGAGCTGGGAGAAGTTTAATCTAAGAAGTTATTTGTAACTGAAGGGATATCTTGTGAAAATAAGGACAACTTTTGAAAAACAGGGACTAAGCAGAAGTCTGAATGTTGAGGTTAAGACCTCACCATTCCCTTTTCCCTGTTCTCAGAGCGTGGCAGTCAGGTGTCTATGCCCCAGACAGGAGATTGGAGCATTTCTCTCTGGGATGAGCAGCCAGGAGACAAGGTTTAGAGATGCTAACTTCTGAGGATTCCCTAATAAAAAACCAACTCATTGTCTCATCACCTTGTAATAAAGCCAGTTGACAAGCACCGCCCACTCACCCCCACCTCCCCAAGTGGACAGAGCTTCTGATCAGCATGTCAGTGGTGATGCATCATCAGACACTTGCGGAAAGCCTCTGAAGTAAAAAACAGAGACCTAAAGATTTAAGGAGAAAAAAATAAGGTACTAAGAAGAAAGAGATAAAAATATTTAAAATGTTAAAAAAACATTTTACACTTTGTATCTGTAGAGAAATGAGATATTATATCCAAGAAGCTAGAATAGGATGCTATTAAAAAGAACATTCAGGACTTCCCTGGTGGCGCAGTGGTTAAGAATCTGCCTGCCAATGCAGGGGACACGAGTTCGAGCCCTGGTCCGGGAAGATCCCACATGCTGCGGAGCAACTAAGCCCATGCGCCACAACTACTGAGCCTGTGCTCTAGAGCCCGTGAGCCACAACTGCTGAGCCTGCGCACCACAACTACTGAAGCCCGCACGCCTAGAGCCCGTGCTCCGCAACAAGAGAAGCCACCACAATGAGAAGCCCGCGCACCGCAATGAAGAGTAACCCCCGCTCGCCACAACTAGAGAAAGCCTGCACGCAGAAACAAAGACCCAACGCAGCCAAAAGTAAATAAATAAATAAATCTATTATTTTAAAAAACATTCAGAGAACAAGAAAACGGTCTTGGAAATTAAAACTGTGATAGGAAGAATTGTAACTGCAAGAGAACTGTTAGAAAGTAATACCAAAGAAATCTACCAATAGAAAATGAAAAGAAATGCAATCCTGAAGATATATGATAATCAAAAGATGAATGAATCTAAGTGGTCGAGTGTCTAATGAAAAGGATTTGTCAGGAGGGAGGGAGGGAAGGTGGGGGAATAAAAGGACACTGAAAGGGCCTGGCACAACGAGTGTAGAAAAGGCCCCACACTAAGGAGAAAAAGAAGAGGTACAATTTTTCACGAAATAAAAACAGGTCACATACAGAAGACTGGGAATTGGTGTGATATTAGACTTTTCAACAGCCATGTTGAAGCCACTAGCCAACAGTAGAATAATGCCCTCAAAGTTTGGGGGGTAAGTTATTTCCATCACCCAATAGAATATTATCAACCAATAGCAATATGAACATGTTATCTAGAAACAATGAGGAAAATAGCAGCAAGAAACAGCTAACAGAAGTCGAAGTAATTTTCCTTGATTCCCTGGGAGTGGGAATCGGGAATGGAGAGGATGTTGCAGGCAATGCTCTTTTTTGTTATAAGCCTCGTCGTAGTATTTGACCTTTGGAACTACAAATGTATGAATTAGGTAAAAATAAAAAGCAACTCAAAGAAATGAGAAGGAAGCCAGGCTAGAAGGGACCAGGGTATCAGAAGAGTAGATCTACAAATTTTGGAGTCAACAGGAATGTAGCAGGAATTAGTCCTAAAAATAACAGGGCTATGAGTGAAATCTTAATATAAAAAAACAGTAAGTGATAACAACAGGCATGTTAAGTTCAAATGGTGTAAGCCTCAAAAAAGGCTTACAAAAAAATTTTTTTGCAAGGAGGAAGAGACAGAATGTTCTGACAGAGTTTAATAAGATTTAACAGTTCCATCTAACAGATTTTATTAGAATATATACCACTTAACAGTATGCTTTTAGTAAAGAAGAATCTGAAAGTACAATTTATGATTTTATAGACATAAATTCTCTATGTTGGCATTGTCACTAGTCCAAGAGCACTGTTAGTCCAAGAGCCCTTTCTGTAAGAAACTAAAGGGAAGATATGTAACTCATCTTAAGAAAGTTTATTCTTTATTTTTCTTGATCCTACTCAGCTTCTTGAAAAATGCAGGTATTTCTGACAAAGAGGATTAGTCAGTTATGGAAGGATCAGCTGTAATGACTCTCACCACTATAAGAAACAACTCAGATAGTTTTCCGATACTGATTTTAAACTGTGCAGAATAGTACCTAGTGACATAGTAATAGAAAAAGAACACTTTTTAAAAACTTCTGGCTGTCATGTTGTGACAAAACTAGTTGAATTTTAAGTTTAGGCTTTTCCATTTCATCTAATGTTGACTTTTAGGTTACTGAATGAGACAGTGTGCCTCTAAATGCTGTAGTCTTAAAATAACTCACTTATAAAGTGCCATAAACTGCTTTAGATTTTTTTTTTTTTTTTTTTTTTGGCAGTACGCGGGCCTCTCACTGCCGTGGCCTCTCCCGTTGCGGAGCACAGGCTCCGGACGCGCAGGCTCAGCGGCCATGGCTCACGGGCCCAGCCGCTCCGCGGCATGTGGGATCTTCCCGGACCGGGGCACAAACCCGTGTCCCCTGCATCGGCAGGTGGACTCCCAACCAATGCGCCACCAGGGAAGCCCTAGATTTTTTTTAAAGGAGTAAGAATAAAGATGCCAAATTGCATATTTTTTGTTTTTTATTTACTAAAGTATCATAACTTTTTTTCTATTACTGTTATTTTCAAGCTCTTCCAGGGTTAAGAATTGGGAAGCTTAAAGACATCTTCCATTTAAACCTAAATTTTATTTTATTTTCTCCTATTTTCCATTATACTCAAACTGCTTCTTCAAAATCATGGATAAAATTTGTTATGTCATAGGGCGAGGAGGGCAGATATGGAATTTTTACAGGTGATTGACCTGTAAGGTTTAGACTGCCAGATGAGTAGAGCGGCAGTTAGTTGGTAAGTGAAATTGGTAAGATTACTACTTAAAGGTTTTTGAACTAATGCATTACAGAAATGTGGCCCTGATTATCACTTTTGAGAAGTTGAATGCCGATACCTTTCAACAATACAGAACATACTTTCCCTTTGTAATATTTGAGGCAGTACCTAAATTATTCAAAGAAAGGAGACAGAAATCAATGTCATAATGAAATTAGGTCGATGCATAGGAAAAAAACAACCAGAGTTTAAGGGTTTGTTTCCTTTCCCCCAAGTTCTGAGTATTCTATCTGAAAGGACGTGGATAGCGAGGACTAGCTTGAATGATAGTGCCACAGAAGGGCCTGCTGGCCTTACAGCTGCCAGACACTGTAAGAGCCTCATCACCTTAGCAGGGCAATGTAAGCTGAATTTCTGACCAGAACCCCTGAAATTTCCAATCAGAAGAAGGGGGGTGGGTACTTACTGCCTTTTCTGTTTTCACACACAACTTTGATTAACTTATTTTCTCCTTTTCCTGTTTTTGTCTTTAGGTCTTATAATCAATGGATAAAGTGGGGAAAATGTGGAATAACTTCAAATACAGGTGTCAGAATCTCTTCAGTCATGAGGGAGGAAGCCGTAGTGAAAATGTGGATATGAACTCCAACAGATGTTTGTCTGTCAAAGACAAAAACATCAGTATAGGAGACTCAGCTCCTCAGCAACAAAGCAGTCCCTTAAGAGAAAATGTTGCCTTACAACTGGGGTTAAGCCCTTCAAAGAATTCTTCAAGGAGAAACCGAAACTGTGCCACTGAAATTCCTCAGATTGTTGAAATAAGCATTGAAAAGGATAATGACTCATGTGTCACCCCAGGAACAAGACTTGCAAGAAGAGATTCCTACTCTCGACATGCTCCTTGGGGTGGGAAGAAGAAACATTCCTGTTCTACAAAGACACAGAGTTCACTAGATACCGATAAAAAGTTTGGTAGAACTCGAAGTGGACTTCAAAGGAGAGAGAGGCGATATGGTGTAAGCTCTGTGCACGACATGGACAGCGTTTCCAGCAGAGCCGTAGGAAGTCGCTCTCTGAGACAGAGGTTGCAGGATACTGTGGGCTTGTGTTTTCCCATGAGAACTTACAACAAGCAGTCAAAGCCCCTCTTTTCTAATAAAAGAAAAATACACCTTTCTGAGTTAATGCTTGAGAAATGCCCTTTTCCTGCTGGCTCGGATTTGGCCCAAAAATGGCATTTGATTAAACAGCATACAGCCCCTGTGAGCCCACATTCTACATTTTTTGATACATTTGATCCATCCTTGGTTTCTACAGAAGATGAAGAAGATAGGCTTCGAGAGAGAAGGCGGCTTAGTATTGAAGAAGGGGTTGACCCCCCTCCCAACGCACAAATACATACGTTTGAAGCCACTGCACAGGTTAACCCGTTATATAAACTGGGACCAAAGTTAGCTCCTGGAATGACTGAAATAAATGGGGACAATTCTGCAATTCCACAAGCTAATTGTGACTCTGAAGAGGACACAACCACGCTGTGTTTGCAGTCACGGAGGCAGAAGCAACGTCAGGTATCTGGAGACAGCCATGCCCACGTTAGCAGACAGGGAGCTTGGAAAGTCCATACACAGATTGATTACATACACTGCCTCGTGCCGGATTTGCTTCAGATCACAGGTAATCCCTGTTACTGGGGAGTGATGGACCGTTACGAAGCAGAAGCCCTTCTGGAAGGGAAACCTGAAGGTACATTTTTGCTCAGGGACTCTGCACAGGAGGACTACCTCTTCTCTGTGAGCTTCCGTCGCTACAACAGATCCCTGCATGCCCGAATTGAACAGTGGAATCACAACTTTAGTTTTGATGCTCACGACCCGTGTGTGTTTCACTCCTCCACTGTAACAGGACTTTTGGAACATTACAAAGACCCCAGTTCTTGCATGTTTTTTGAACCATTGCTTACGATATCACTAAATAGGACTTTCCCTTTTAGCCTGCAGTACATCTGCCGTGCAGTCATCTGCAGATGCACTACGTATGATGGAATTGATGGGCTCCCTTTACCGTCAATGTTACAGGATTTTTTAAAAGAGTATCATTATAAACAAAAAGTTAGAGTTCGCTGGCTAGAACGAGAACCAGTCAAGGCAAAGTAAACCCTCCTGTCCCCAAAGGGCATTAACTAGATCTGCTTTTATGTGCATCGGGCAGTACACCTCTAGCAAGCACACATATCAGTGTTAGGTTTTTTTCAGTACAGTATGTAAGCTTAGTGTTAGTATTTGTCAGGTGCAATCTGCTGTTACTTACTCAGATAAACGTGGTGCCTATTGAGACAACAGAGGATACAGCTACAGGTGTTCGGTAAGGCTACAAAAACATTCTGCCGATTTAGCTGACAGTTTGGTTTTTAATGGCTGTAGTTAACTGAGTGAAGCAACTCTGGGGCATTTGCTATGAAGAATTCTATTTCTTACTGAAGAACAAATTATTAATATTGGATGAGTATTTCAACAGTGTGACTAATGTTTGAAATTATTATTTTTTCTAAGAATTTTTCTATAACCTTCCAAAAGTAGTGATGTTTGTAGTTACTATAAATCAAGCTTTGGAAGTCCAAAAAATAAAGACTGCCTTCCTTTTAGAAAAAAATGCAATTTTCTGGCCACAAGGGCATAGTGCAGTGCAGTTCACTTAAGTGTTGATATAGTTTATAGTCAGTCTCCTTTTCTCTTCTGCAAAAGGTACTGTTAAGTAAACCAGTTTTCTAAGTAGTAGTTCTTAAAATTTCAGACTTATGAAAAGTTGGTAGTAGAATTTTATTTAGAATTTTATTTAAGGCCTTAAGTATTCATTTTTTAATGAGTGCTTTAACATAACACATTGGGAATAGCTGCTGCAAAGTAGGCCTGCGTGTGATTTTTTTAAGGTGACATGTGCAGTCAAATCGCTGATTCATTAAAGTTGGATCTTTTTCTATGCCCGTGATGAGTTTGTGAACCATGAAGAAAATGAGACTAAACGATACCCAAACAAGTCAGATAATACTACAGTGGTTGCTGATTGTTGAGATTATTGTTAAACTGTAATTCATAATTTAGATGGCAGTATTTATCTCTTTGTTGTAAACTCTCATAGCTGAATTGCTTAAGTACAAGTTATAGAATTTCAGTGCACTTAATTTTTAATGGAAAAATCTTAAACCTAAATTGCTGATTTAAAAGGTACTGTACAACCATTGTGTCTGTAAATAACTTTACTTAGCACCTTTTTGTCACTTAGAATAGTATGCAATACTACTTGAGTGAGCTATTTTGGAAGTAATACCAAGTTCTAGTGTTTGCTTCTTAGTATTGGACTGAATTTACAGTTCCGTCCTGGACATTTTGCACTAAAGTAGTCGAATCCATTCTTCTGTCTTTTTGTTAACGTGCTCTGTACCACTGGTGAGTGCTCCTTAGTTTCCTTACCTGCTGCTACAGAAAGTTCTTTTACATCCCAATGGCTATCACCAAGGCCACAAAAAAGAAAAGCTATATTTGTATGCAACACTAACCCTTTGACTGCTAATGTATGTTTCTGCTTGCTGTGCCTTGTTACGGCTGCTTTTTTGTGCTAATAAAGTACGTTTGGTGTTCTCCTTGTATATCTGCTGTTTTATACATTTGCAACAATTTCTCTTGTAAATGGAATGGTTTGGGGTTTTTAAATAAGCATTACCTGACAACCTACTATAGTTAATGCAGAATTACTGAACAGTCTAATATTGACTTATTCCAACTAAGCTAACTCTAAATTTAATTCTATACATCTTTCCAATCATAATCACATATGCTGTGGAACAGTATCTATAGTTACTGCAAATTACTGTATAGTTTAGATTATAACAGAAAATGAACAGAGAAATACTGGCTAAACCTATTGATTTCTCTGCTTATAAGTGAAAGATTGAAACTATCGATGACATGTTATCATAAATGAATATCTATAGCCTCCCACTGCATCAGAAACAAGTTAAATGAAGTCTTGTAAACTAATAATACATCAGCACCATTTATTGGTTTGGGGACCATTTTAATTAACAACAAATGCCCAAAATGTAGAACTTTAACCAAAGACTTGTCCATTTTAAAGCAAAATGGGGATTGAAGGGACTTACAATTCCTGTTGTTTCTAATAGAAGTCCCTGAAGAACATATACCAAAGTGTTTGAGAACTTCATCCAAACCTACTTTAAAGCATTATGTGCAATTAAGTTGTTATGACATAATTACAGTGCATAATTGTTGGGTCCGTTTTCTTGAGCTTATAATGTACCTGGAAAATAAACCTCTTGGGGAAAAAAAGTTCATACTGATTATTGGAGAAAGACTATATATGCAAGCAAGATCTTATTTTAAAGAGGTAACTTGAAACTCCAAGAAAGCACTTGATGTTTTGTATGCTTGTAGCAAATTGATGTTTTAATTGTAGTTTTATAGAAAGTATTAATGCTTTTATGTATTTCAGAAATTTCATATGTTAAATGGAAATTGTTTTAAATGTGTAAATATTTGAGTTTATGTAAGCATGTATGTTACTGTGCTAAAAGTCACTTATGTTTCGGTTTGTGTGTAATATTAATATGCAACTTTTGGTTTAAAATTTTTTCTTAAACAATTAGTGGCTTACATTTTAAAAAAGAAAAATCACCAGCATGAAACTGCACCTAAGTCTATATTCACTGTGTCTTTTTCTGAATCCCGTTGTAGCCTGTCAACTAAATTTGTGTCTTCATGGTCTTTTTGAAGTGCGTTTTAATGAGAACTAGGAAATTCTTTAGAAGTTTAGACATTTCATAGTGAAGTAATTATAATTTAACCCGAGGAAAGATTGCTCTGATTCATATCCACTCTCATTCTTACGTTCACTTATTCATTCATTCACACTCCCTATATACATATGCATATATATACATATATATATTTATGCTGTTACTAATTTCAACATTAATATTGCCATCTGATTCAAAATCATGTAAAGGCCTTATTCTATATATATATATATATATATACTATCCTTGTACCATTCATACTTGATTATCTGCACCTGAAGTTTAGTCTTACAACTATAATCTTGTTTGTAATACCGTCACCTTAAAAAGAGAAAGCATTCATTAGTATTTTCTTTACTGGCTAAACACAGTAAAAAAAATTCTGAAGAAACAGCTTGGTTTAAATATAGTTACTAAGAGTCATAATTAAATTTATACTTTTTAGACAAAAATTGAGCCCAAGTAATCATACTCCACAAACTGATCTGTGTTCCTATGGTCCATGAGAAGGTTTATATAAGATTTATAGTGGCTTGAACTATAAAAATTGATACTTGAATTCTAAGCTTCATTTTGACAAAATTCAAAGTTTATGAACATTTTTATTTGACATTTTGACCTGGTTGCTATTCATTTTCCATCCTAAGCTTCCTTTGCTCCATGGCACTAAATACAAGTTTGGTAAGTTTTATTGAGATTGATGTTAGATCCCTTATTTTTGTAGCAAAGAAAGTTCTAAAGTTCCTTTTTGGTAGAGGCAAAGAGTCTAGAGTGAGTCAGAACTCTCCTAGGAAAGATGCAGAGCCTATATCTATCTCTGGGAGTGTGTTACCACCACAGATCATACCAGTTCCTTCATTTATTCTGTACCGCAACACATAACAGTTTTACCTAGATGAAATTAGGTAAACATGCACACTAAAGGTGAGAAACGTTTCCAAAGGGGGCAGTGCTGCTTGGTGCATAAAAACTACATATCTATGAGGCTCAGGTTTTGTTTCATATTTTTGCAACAGCCAATAGAGAACACAGTCTTTTATAATGTGGTATATTTCTAAGGAGATTTGGGGTGGGATTTCTGTGGGAGGTGGTTGGTTGTTGTTTTGGAGGGTGGGGCATGGAGGGATTGTCCTTTCAAAGTAGGGATCAGTTGGAACAACTGTTTCCATGCCCAGGAAGCGTGATTGAATATAGACTCATTTCAGCCATTCATTCAACAAATATTCATTGAAGACCCATGTGCCAGTCACCATTTTAGGTGATGGGTATATATTGGGTATATATTAGGTGATGGGTATATATTAGGTGGGTATATATTAGGTGATGGGTATATATTGGGTTACAAGACAAAGTTACAGGGTCACCGGAGAACACTGACCTTGAGTGATGAGAAGATGATCACCAAGATCAAAGAAAAGAGTATTTTAATGAAAGAAACAAAACTAAAGATCTCAAAGCAGGAGTGAGCTTTTATACTGAAAGAGAGAATGCCAGTAAGACAAGTCCAGTGAGTGTGGTGAGGAATGGTGGGTGATAAGTTTGTAGAGATTGGCAAGGGCCTGATCACTTGGGACTACGGGCCCAAAGTAAGGAATCTAAATTTTATTCTGAGTCTGATGGTAAGCAAGGGAGTGACATGGTCTGCTTTATATCCCTTTAATAGATGGAGAACAAGCTATAGTGGGGCAAAATTAAGGTGACTGTTGCGGTTTCCTAAGTGCAAGATGGTGACAACCTGGACTGGAGTGGTAGTCATAGGGAGGCGTTTTTTGGTGGAAAAACCTGACAGGATTTGGTGATGGGTTAGATGTGAAGAAGAAAGAAGAAATCAAAGATGAGTCCGATTTTGAGCAAAGGATGGTGATGCTGAGATTTCAGAACAACAGTGGAAGAGCAAATTGGAGGGTTGAAATCAAATCTTGCCTTGGATATGTTGAGATTTGAGATTCCTATTATCTCAATGGAGACAGACATTGGGTAGACAGATGTATGAATGTAGAGTTAAGGGAAAAAAGTAAAATACGGGGAGTTGCTATATGGATAATATTTAAAACTATAGGACAGGATGGTGACAGCTAGGGATTTTGCAGGGGGTTAAGTATTTCTTCGGGGGAAGTAATTATGGCGGCATTTATCTTAGTTTGTCGATTCAAGATTCTGTATCATTGAAAGCCATCTACTTTCAATAGAGGACTTGCCATTCAAAAAGTTTTAAAATACTGGAATCATAAGCCTTGCACTCAGTTTTAAAACTTCATCCATGTCAAATTGGTTGTCATGTTTTCTATGTCAAGTTGGCTTGTGTATCTTTTTTAGTACAAATTTTTATATGAGAAATGCAAGTTTATTATGGAATACTTAGAAAATACTGAAGATTATAAAGAAGCAGGACCATGGAAAAGTCCATATTATCATTTTCTCTACCATCACCAATCCCGACCCTGACCCTCTCAACTCCCATTTTGTAATCTTCCAGAGGTAACTGCTATTAACATTTATTATATTCCCTTCCACTATTTTTAATGCATTTCTAACAATTAGAAGATGAAAGCTTATGCAACATGGATACAGATAGATGACAACATACCAAGGGAGGAAGAGAGTTATAGGCCTTGAATCACTTTTAGAGAGTATACTCAGATGTGCTCCAAATTTACTTTTTACCTGATTCAGTGTGGACCTAGGTTTCTTGAGACTTTTAAGACAGGTCACTGAATGGATAGAGTAACGGACACTGCTAAGGCCCAGTCACTGAAGGTTTCCTGAAATAAAATTTCAGTAGAAGATGAGAACCCTCATCTCATAGAACTTTTAAACTAACGGGGACAGAGGCAAATATATAAATGTGTAATGACGAGAATATATGAAAATAAGCAAAAAGTAATTGAGCAAAAACTGGTTGCGTGCTTGATAAGGAAAAACACAAAAGTGACCCACGTGGAGGCCCGGTGATTCGGTGCCTTAGATTTGTTTCATCACAAGAACGTTTAAGAAATTGACTTAGTGGATGATGGAGCAGTCAGGTGTGGAAGTGTAGCGGTAACAACTGATGAGGGCAGGGTGTGGTAGAAGAATTTGTTGAGTGTAGCATTTGAGTATACTAGACTGAAGAGTCTGAATTTATCTAGGTTCATAAGCAAGGTAGAATTAGAAATTCTGCCAGCAGCTGTAAAATGGATTATGACCAGGAGAGACTGGAGAAAGGACGCCCTGTGAAATTTGCCTGGGTCAGATTGATAGCACTGGAATTAAGCTGAGGAGCACATCAGAAAGAAACCACACAAGGGGAAAAAAAAATAGCACCAAAAATTTGGGGTAAGGAAAACAAGCAGTCTGCTTGCCTAGAAGATTGTTAGTTAACTATGTCATAATTTCTCCAAATTCAAGCAAATAATAAGAAAGCCAAGCTAGTATCTCCCATTTAATATGAATATGTATCCTCTCTATTTTTAAATAAAACTAAATATGTGTAGTATATTTTTGAAAGGCACATTTTTAATGCAAAAAAGTAATATTTAAATAAGGAAAACTTCATCACTCTTAGCTATACTTACATAGAGAAATTAGGAAAACTATGTCAAATCTGAACATCAAAACTTTTTTTCAACCTGACAAAAATGCTGAGAACAGGTGGCAAAATAAGATTTAAGAGGGTGTTACTGAATTTAACCCCCCAAATGCTATTGTGATTGATGTATTTTTTTCTCATTCTTAATTTGAGTGAGTGAAGCCTGCACTGAGTTTTTACTTAGTAGTCAGTCTTACATTTAGAAATGTATAGTATTACTGCCTGATATTTCTTCCTCTAAGTATTTACTAAGCATCCCTCTATAACTGGAAACCCAAGATTTTAGATTTTAGGAAACCCAAGATTTTTTTAAACTTAATATAACTTTATCATTACACTGAATGGTATAATACTTTCTCATCTGTCTTAAAATACAATTATGCACTTAATCCTACTTTTTTTGCTTCTATTTTTAAGATGAATTATTTTAAATTTATAGTGATTTTTGTAAACATTTTAATATATTTTTAAAAATTGAACTGGAATAATTTAAAGCTTTTGTCATCTAATTTTATAAATATTTTTTAGGTATCCTTGGGTGTAATACAGGCAGTATGGAATTTTAATGACATTATAGGAATAGAGAAAAATTTTGGTATACAGTAGTAGTTACAATACTGTGAATGATAAAATCTGTAAATTATATTTTTAAAATACTGTCTTTTAGCAATTTTTATCCAAATAGTAACAGGATTAGAAAACTAAAATTAATTTCTAAAATTTGGCTATGCTAAGTTTCTCATCTTTCAAGTAGATAATCTTAGAGGCAGTATAGTTTATTGGTGAAGTGAACAAAATAAACGTTAAGGGCCTACATTTGATCTATGAATTCTGCCAGAGGCCGAGTGATGTACCTAAAATAATCCTAGAGGGAAAGCTGCCAGAATAGCTTCCTGGCCCAGCAAACCAACCATATATAACCTGATGCAGCAGACGGATTATTATGTAATACATAAGATTTACCTGAGCTGCTGTGTTCTAATCCTCTACTTGTCTTTGATACGTGACTTAGAGGTGTTAAGTACTTGTCCAAGGTCACAGGAAGAGTCAATGTTGGAGCTAGGTTTTAAACACGGGTTGAGGCCAGAACCTAAGCTCTTATCAATGATACTTTAATTTTTGGATCCTAATTTTCTTAGCCAAGTTCATATCTCTTCCAATGCTCTGTCCCTTACTTTCACCTCAAGGGGACAATAGATTTTCAACAACTGATAAAAACAGATTCTAAACCGTTGATAAAAGTGTTGAAACAACAGGCCTCTAGAGTTTCCTTAATTCATATTCTCCAGTTCATTATCTAGGGAGTCACCCACATATTTCTCCAACTTTTTCTAGCACTGCTTTTCCCCTTGCTCACTTCTCTGCTGTCATGCTGGCCTTCATATGATGGCTCCAGCACT